CTGATCATGATACCACCGCCGACGCTCCGATGCTCCAAGCTCCTAGTTGCTCCGATGACGCCGAGTTACCTATTCACAATCAGTCACCAATCCCTACTTGCTCAAACTTTATTGATAATTTGAATTTAGCAAATGAACCGGCTACCAGAGAAAATTCACCATCGATTATTATTAACTTTTTTGCTGAAAATAATTTGGACTTAGAATTAGGATCACAATTAGATTCATCAAGACATATTTCTCAAATACTGACGGAATCCACTTTACAATCTAATACTTTAAGCAAACCTATTGAATCGCCGATGCGTACCACTGAAGTAAGGAAGAGCCCTCATTTTATATCCCCATTTGAATTTAGGAATCCTATTAAAGCTGGGCCTAGAAAATCTGAACGGAAATCCAGAAAATTAGGACGTAGTATGATAGTAACTGATACCCCCGAAAAACAAGAAATAGAAAAGGCTAAATCTAAAAAAAAAGTACATCCAAAACAAAGAAAAGTGATAAAGAAGGTGTTACAAAGTGACTCTGAAGATCAGAGTGAAGAAGATCAAAACATTAATGTAGAATACCAGGAATCAGATGAAGATAACGAGTGGCCAGATGATGACATCGAAAATGAAACAATTTGTTTGACAGAAAATGATTTCACTGATCCTCTACCAAGACCGCCTCGAGAGGGTGAATTTGTTTTAGTAGAGTTTTCTACTAAGAAGCAAAAAGTTTTTTACATTGGCAAAGTGCTAGAAAGCAGAAATCATAATCTTGACTATTACATTAGCTATCTGCGTAAGAAGGCCCATGGTAAATATGCCATGCCTAATAATCCTGATTTGTCGATTGCAAAAGAGCGCGATATTAAATATATATTGCCAAAACCCACTTTTGGAGGCAGCACCATGAGACAGCAATCTTATTATTGCTTCCCAATCGATTTTTCGAACCTGAATGTTCATTAAAATGTTATAGTTTCGTTTTACTTATTAATTATTAAGAGATTTAAGAAGTTGTTTTGTTGATTATATTTGATTTGTTTTGAATTGACATTTAGTCGATATAACCAAAAAAGCCATTTGCATTTAATATTGCAATGTAGGTTGTAATTGCATTGCAATTATTTTATTAATATTTTATTTCTTTTTGGATGCATATTTACTTAGTTACCTAGTTTGTATGACTAAAGAGTCCTAGTGCATTTTATATTTAAGTTTTTTTTAGTTTAACTAAATAAGTTCAAAGTGTTCTTATTTTTTTAATGTTGAAGATGTTTATTTGAAGAGTTGAAGAAGATATTATTGTGATCTCTAATATTGTGACTGATTTTATTACATATTGTACCTAAGAGTTCAAATACTTAATTAAAAACTTGATACTACAGTTTTTTATTTCATTTTAGATTCAATTATCCACTGTTACTGCCCCGATCCACTGTGAACATTAGGGCGAGCCACTGTTCAACACCCAGTGTACACAGTGGCTCATTTTTGACTCTTAAAAAAAGTGTATACATAGTATTATTTTTAACGCTATTCATAAAAACAAGTCACCTATATTAAACTAGATTACATTTCCTACCTACTATCTCAATTTTCGTCTTTCTAACTCAATTCAGAGCTGAGCTACAGCCTCTGGAAAAAAAGTGATCCACTGTTGAACACTTTACCCTATATTTTTTTGGAGTTTCATTTGTCCACCTGAAAAAGTAAATTCAAATAGGTGTAGGGGTACATATTATTAATTGATAGTAATACAAAAAATTATAAAAGTAGTATGAAAAACCTTATATGGAATATACATACATTACCTCTTACATGAAGCCCGGTTCTATGATCAATTTTCTAATCATATTATTCAGTGTAGTTTTGGATGATAAATAAAATAAAAAATTTTGCTTAAAAATCAATAACACTTTGGACTCTGCTTTGATATTGATAAAGCAATTATCTTTTCTTCGGTAGTGAATCTCACCTCTCATGTTTATTTTTAGTTTGTTATATGTTTTTGAAATGCTCACTTGCATTTCAAAAACAAACATTTTTTGCAACTGTGTTAATTGAACTCTTCAAATGATAACTTTTTACAAAACTTAAAGGTATTTTTTAAGTATTCTTTACTTTATTATGAAAGTTCAAGTTCAACTAAGTCTTTGGCTTGTTATATTCTTCATAAATTCTCTGGTATAAAGGTGACAATTGGCTTTATTTGGTAATAAGCCTTTTCTTTTTTGTTTGGGTACATTTCACAGGGTCTGTAACATCAAAAGTATTCAGTGAATTTCTCTATTAGAACTACTATTTGATTGAAATAAAGATACACTAAATAAAAAGAGACAGGTCTTACCAGATAATTTAGTTTATGTCATATTTTAATCTCCAGAGCAAGCAACTAATTGAGTAAACTCAGTGGCTGCAGACAGCAGACAGGAGTCTCAATTTGTTCTTTGAAATTTACACCACCTATGATATCAATATTGATTATGTGTATAAGATTAAAAAACAGA